ATCGGGCAGTTTTGTTCTGCTGTGCATAAGGTCGCTATGAGTCAGTGCCAACTCGATGGCGCCTAACAACAATAACATTAATGTCAAACCAAAGCATATTTTCTATCCCTTCTCCCTGCTCCCGCTTGAAACTCTCTGTCCTAGTGCTTTAGTTACACATATGCTAGGAAGGGGCAGGCCTACCTCTGCAATTCACATCAGAACTCTTATACATGTGCTAGGAAGGGGAAGCCCAGCACCTTGTGTGTTTTTCAGCCTTTCCTAGTCCATTTACCACCTTTAACTGCCTTGAGGGTGAGACTGGGGTAACCAGGATATACAAAGACCCTAGCACATTCTAGCATATGCCCCTGCGGGTAATTCTGACTATCCAGCTGCCACCACTGGATGCAGTACTGTTCAGGTTAGTAAATTTCATTTGAGAATAAACAAATGTCTTTAGATCTGTCTCCTGGTCAGTTTTTCCGTCTCTCTGGCAACTACCCACATGAAATGGTTCTCCCTTCTGGGCTTAAACCCAAACGGGACTTCAAAAATTTGTGAAAAAGTGGAATTAAAAGATAATGGATTTTTTCCATGAACTTTTTGAAGTCCCTTATATACAGACTAATTCAAGAGATTGAATTCTAATTAAGATAAATTCGCTTAATTACAGCCAAAACGTGATTCAAAATTCTTTTTAAGTTGACATGGTGATTAAAAATTCACCTCAATTAATGTAGAGATAAACACTGCCAAGAAAATATTAGAAAGGAAAGATAAAGAAGTTTGGAATCTTAAGATATTAAAATATATTTTATAGGTAAAAAAATTAAAACATTGGCGTACTAATAATGTTAAGAAGCCGCCCATTAAATGGAACAGAATAGGAAACCCAGAAACAGAAAAAAATCAGGATTTAACGTTATGATAAATTGAAGTTTTAAACTAGACTGTGTTTGGCACAGTGAACCTTTTTTTTAAAAATTCTTAAATGTTACATGCATCATGCTCCAAACTAAATCTCAGGTTGTTTGAAGATTTAATGTTGTTGTTGTTGTTGTTATGTGCCGTGGAGTCGGTTCCGACTCATAGCGACCCTGCACAGGGTTTCCGAGGCTGTAAATCATTACAGGAGCCGTCATCTTTCTTCCGCGGAACAGCTGATAGTTTCGAACTGCTGACCTTGCAGTTCACAGCCCGATTCGTAACCACAAAAAACAGAAGTAAAGAAAACGTGAGGTTCGGCCAGTGGGGAAGATTCCGAGGTATGCAATCAATTTCTATTTCATCTAGAGAATATGCGTTAGTTTTTCCTCATACATTTTCACTTGTTAGCACATAGAAACCGCATGCTGTTGTTACACCCACTAAACTTCCAGGGTAACAGGCTGTGGCCCAGAGAGATGTGTTATTCTTGTTGTTGTTAAGTGCCGTCGAGTCGGTTCCCACCCATTGCGACCCTGTATAGGGTTTCCGAGGAGCGACTGGTGAGCTTGAACTGCCAGCCTTGCAGTTCAAACGGTTTTGCAGTCTGGCGAATCAATCCACAGCGCCACACCAGGAAAACAGAAAAAAACGAGATTTAGTTTGTTAGGGGAATTACCTGGGCTCGAGGTTTCGAGTCCTAGAGTTCCACGGCATTTAGCACCAATGTTGTGCAAAGATTGCTTTCCAAAAAGACTGGAGTCTTGCTCGCAAGTCTTCCAGAATACTCAGACCCCACCGATCCTAGAAGGGATCGATCGCTGAGATTTGTGGCGCCAGAATTTTGCGCGTGCGCACCGGGCATTCTTGACCTCCTGTTCTCGAAGCGCATGCGTAGGGAAACGCCGCGTTCTGAAGTGCGCAGGCGCTCTTCTGTTTAGCAGGATTGCTTGGCTACAGTTATTTTGGGCTGTGAGATTTGCAACCGCGGAATTTTCCTGTTGGGATGTTGTGGCGAGATCGGGTTGGGTTATCTGTAGAACTATTATTGGTTTCAATTGGTGACAAAAAGCCTAATGTGAGGTGGGGTGCCTTTGAAGCCTGTCGCCTCCGCGATGAAGAAGATTTTTGGCTTCGGGAGTAAGAAGGGCGAGTCGCCCTTTCGCTCCTCCACCAGTCCGAAGAGGGACAGCGCAGTCGTCGGGCGTGAGAATAGTAAAAACGTCAATTCACAGCCAGGGTACTACATTCGAGACAAAGATCTCGGAAAGATACACAAAGCTGCCAGCGTGGGTAACGTAGCGAAGGTTCAGCAGATTCTTTTGCTCGGGAAAAATGGCTTGAATGATAGAGACAAAGCGAACAGGTAATAGGGACTTCGTGGCCCGCTGGCTATGGGGCCGGCGTAGTGGCGTCACGAGGGGCGGGATGACACTGTCAGAGGGGGTCACACGAAAATGACTGCCTAAAATTTTTGTTCAGTGCTTCGGCATAAGTTTATTATTTTAAATAAACATATCTCTATGGTTAATTATAACAACAACAAAAATTATTTTTTTGTAGCTTCAGTTTACATGTGTCAGTAGACCTTTAAGACTAAAATCTGTGCTGATTTTACTTTTTGACCCTTCTAATGCTCAGTGGTCATTGATGTCTTTGCAGTGACACTGTGAGTCATAATGCTTCCTCTACAGCCTGTTGCTGTAAGCACGGGTGTTCTTGCTGCTGATGATTTTAGATACTGATTTTGTCAAATGTTCTGGTGTTTTAGCTACGATATTGGGGTAAATGGTATGTGTGAATCGATATCAAGAACTTCTTTGAGAACGAAATAGTAATTTAAACTGTAAAAAAGGCTTCCGCTCACTTACTAATCTTGTAACTTGTTTGTTGTTGTTGTTGAGTGCCATCGAGTCGGGTCCGACCCATAGCGACCCTGTACAGGGTTTCCGAGGGTGTAAATCTTTACGGGAGTAGAAAGCCTCATCTTTCTCCCGCGGAGCGGCTGGTAGTTTCGAACCGCTGACCTTAAGGTTCGCAGCCCGATTCGTAACCACTACGCTACCAGAGCTCCTTTAAATACCCTCAAATCAGTTCCGACTCATAGCGATCCTGTGTAGTGTTTCTGAGCAGTGTGGTTGGTGTGCATGAACCATGGAGCTTGTGGTTCAAACCGACCATGAGGTCCAATACCGTATCCTGCAGCGCCACACCAGGACTCCAGTGTTGTAATGAATGATGTTTTAATTCAGTGTAGAAAGATTTCATGAAACATATAATCCAAGAGGAGTCCTGGTGTGGCGCTGTAGGTTAATGCGCTGAACTGCAAAGTCGGTTTGAACCGTAAAGTCGGCGGTTCAAACTCACCACTTGCTCCTTGGAAACCCTATACAGGGTCGCTGTGGGTCAGAAAACTAGATGGCACTTAACAACAACAATAACAACAAAATTAAGACGTATTTAAGTTAAGCAATTGACATCTATACTTACCACATATTATTCTATGATTAAAATTGATAATAAATGTTACTAAGGATTCTGTATGGTCTGGTGCCAGAGGTGGACTATGAGGGCGACACCAACCCTAGTGACGTCACTGGACCTGTAGGAGCAGGTGGGCGGGTTCTCTGGGCTCAGCTGAGGGTGAAGGTACCTGCCATCCAAGGTTGCTTACCTGTTTACCCAAGAGTTCTTGACTACCTTCCCTCCTTAGGCACCTGGGGCATGGACACTATGCGGGGCCTAGTGCCCAGTTTGACTTTATGAGCAGCAAAAAAAAAAGAAAGGAAGAAAATTAGCTTCCTTCTAATCTACTTATAATTGTTTTTGTTGTTGTTAAGTGCTGTGGAGTCTGTTAGCCACCCTCCACAGGGTTTCCGAAGCTGTAAATCTTTTGCAGGTGCAGAAATCTTTAGCTTTTTCTCTGAGCAGCTGGTAGGCCTGAACTGCCACCCAGTGCTTTTTCTAATTGCCTTTATAGTATTAAAATGATTTAACTGGATGTTAATAATGGAAAGAAATAATATTTTAATTCTGTCACTTATTAGCTGCCAGTTAGCTTTTCTGTTCCTCAATTCCTCATTAATAAATGAAGATTAAAATAGTAGGTACCTCACAAAACATCATTGTGATGTGTAAATAAGAATCTATGCCAAGTGTTTAGAACAATTCTTAGCACTAATAACTGCCCCAATAATTGTTAACAACCAATAATTTTATTATTACCACTATGTACTAAACATATGAAAGAAAACATTTCAGTTCAGTAAAATGTCACAATCATTCTCATTTTGCATATATATCAATTAGTGATAGTACTCTATATCATTGATTCTAAGATGTTCATTTTCTCACATTTTAACAACTTTGTCACTGGAATACAAAGAATAATTGATGATATACTATAACTATAACTGACAACATTTTAAAAAAATGTCTTCTTGTTGTTAAGTGCCATCGAGTTGGTTCCGATCCATAGTGACCCTGTATAGGATTTCCGAGGAGTGGCTGGTGAGCTTGAACCGCTAACCTTGATGTTCAAACAGCTTTGCAGTCTGACGCATTAACCCACAGTGCCATGACAGGATATCTTACAATCCAGGACACCTTACATTAAGTGAAATACAGTATATACAATTCACTTAATGCCTTACATTAAATGGAAAACAGCAGATACAATGAAATACAGTATATATAACATGTTGTTGTAAAGTGCTGTTGAGTCGGTTCTGACTCTTAGTGACCCTGTATAGAGAGCTTCCGAGGTGGGTTTGAAGGGCTGATCTTGAGGTTAGCAGTCCACTGCGTATTCTATAGCACCTCACCAGGACTCTCTAATATGGTAAGCATTTTAAATAAATTTTTCTTAAAAACACTATTGGAAAGAGGGCTAAAATAACAAAACAACAAAGAAGATAAAGTAATTATTAGTTTGATTTTAGCTCAACCAAAGTAAATTCAGGAATCAAATGAATAGGTATGGCTCATTTTCTTCAATATTTAGATTTATAGAATGTATGTAAAGCAATTCTTTCCAATGATTAACAATGCCAATCAATCCCATGCAAGACCGGTTGATCTAGAACTGTTTGTACCTGGATGTCTGCAAAGGTGCCCTGAGGTGCTGTGGTTTAGCACTGAGCTGCTAACCACAAGTTGTTTGACCCCACTAGGCTTTCCAGAAAAGAAAGATGAGGCACTTTGCCTTCTGTTAGGAATTTACAGTCTTGGAAACCCTATGGAGCAGTTTTACTCTGTTCTACATGGAGTCCTCATGTGGCATTCTAGGATAAGCACAGAACTGCTAACCACAAGGCCTGTGTCTCAAACTAGCGACTCCTCAGAAACCCTATACTCACTATGAGTCGGATCCCGCTCAACTTAAAAACAGCCCTGGTATGGCACTTTAGGATAAGCAGCAAGTGCCTTTCAAACCTGCCAGCCCTGCTCAGATAGCCTACCTTGTGAGTCAGAACCAGTGTGACAGCACTAAACAACGCGATTCTATAGCAATACTGTTTTACTCTGTTTCTAAATCTGGCTTTTCAAAAGCACCAACTAAATCTGGCTTTTCAAAAGCACCAACCGCTCCTTGGAAAGGCTATACAGCGCCGCTATGAGTTAGAACCGACTAAATGGCTCTTAATAACAACAAAAAATGTGATTGCTGGAATTATGATTGCCTAGGCAGGGCCAGACCAAATGCCCTCTGGTTGGACATTCCCCAACCCTGGTATAAATCTTTACGGGCGCAGAAAGCCTCTTCTTTCTCCAAGGAGCGCCGCTGGTGGGCTGGAACAGGAACTGGAACCCTCCAGCACGTTAACCCACAGTGTCACACCAGGACTCCAGCCTTCACATTAGGGGTGGTTAGCATTCCAGTGTTTATCCTACAGTGTCACAGTGAGCTAAATAAGTAATTGGAGCTAATAAATATCTGACTTTTTTCAGACGAAAACAGGTATTTCTTTTGACATTATAGAAATAGCATGCTGTTTAATGTTCACCATTATGTGAATAGGACTTCTGGTGTGGCGCTGTAGGATCAGCACTGGACTGACTGCAAACCACAAGGTCAGTAGTTCAAACTCATCAGTTGCTCTTTGGATATCCTATACAGGGTCGCTATGAGTTGGAACCAATTCGACGGCATTTTAACAACAATACAAACAACAACATTATGTGAATAATTGTATATTCTGAGATGAATAGTGTGCTATACGTTTCTAAAAAGTCCTCTTCCTTTTGTAGGACTGCCCTACATTTGGCCTGTGCCAATGGCCATCTCGATGTGGTCACTCTTTTAGTGGAGAGAAAATGCCAGCTTAACCTTTGTGATAACGAAAACAGGACAGCTCTGATTAAGGTGTGTACTAGCCAGCTCTCTCGGTATAAAATGGATTTTTGATTTAAATACTTAGAATAAAAATGAATTTGTTTCATTTAAATATTAGAAATGTTTGCTTTTAAAGAGTTTATTTTGGTACATTTATTGCTATTATAGAAAAATGAATGGAAAATAAAATTGATCACTTTTAAGTATATATTTCAGTGAAATTAATTATATTCACAATACTATGCAGTCATTTCTATTATCTTTCTTTAAAACATTGACATTATTTATATCCAAGACTTTTTGTTCATCCTAACACAAGTTCTGTACTCATTATGCGATGACTCTTGATCCCTTCCCCCAGTCTTTTGTAAGTGTTAATTTACTTTTTGTCTCTATGAATTTGCTTGTTTAGATATTTCATACAAGTGGAATCAGACATTATTTGTCCTTTTGTGTCTAGTTTATTTCTCATACAAAAATGTTCTCAACATTCATCCATATAGTAGCATGTATTATAACTTTATTTCACTTAGTGGTTGAATAATAGCCATTGTATGTCTGTACCACATTTTGTGTATCCATTCATCTATTGATGGTCACTTAGGTTGTTTCTTCTTTTTAGTTATTCTGAATAATGAACATTGGTGTACAGATATCTGCTTGAATTCCTGTTTTTAAGTCTTTTGGGTATATACCTAACAGTGAAATATTTGTGTTGAATTTTTTGAGGAACTGGTTTCCACAGTGACTGCACCATTTTATGTTCTCACCATCAGTGCATGAAGGTTCCACTTCTTCCAGATTCTTTCCAGTAGTTGTTATTTCCTGTGTTTTAAAAAAACTTTTGTTTGATGATAGCTATTCTAGGGGGTTCATGGACTATTTACTTCTAATTCCTAGAATTTACACTATTTCTCCTTCTAATGCTGACAGGCCGTACAGTGCCAGGAGGAGGAATGTGCAACTGTCCTGCTAGAACATGGAGCTGACCCGAACGTTATGGATGTGAATGGCAACACTGCTCTCCACTACGCGGCCAGTAGTCAGAATATATCACTAGCAGAAAAACTGCTGGCACACAAGGCAGATATTGAAGCAAGAAACAAGGTATTGATTAAACAACTGTATTTGCAAAATACTTCAGATACATTAAAAAATATATATATATTGATGTAAGTAGGGTCAGTTTTACATTTGGAAGTTCAAGTTATCTCTGAAAATATTTTGAAAAAAGTTGTTTAAGATTTTACTTTAAATGATACTTGTAAAAGAAACATTGGTGAGTATAGCTGTTGTTTTTTATGATTGATGGCAAATATTTGTGAAAACAGTTGAGTTGTGTTAGCTTTTTTTGCATTTCTCTTCCTACCTGTCTTAGTTATCTAGTGCAGCTGTAACAGAAATCCCACAAGTGGATGGCTTTAACTAATAGAAATGTACTCTTTCATGGTTAAGGAGGTTAGAACTCCAAATTCAGGACACCAACTCTAGGGAGCAGCTTTCTTTGTCAGCTCACATTGTAGGTGGAAGGTCCTTGTCTCCATTCATTATCTCTATACCTGGCATCCTTAGGAGATCTCCATGTGTCTTGACATCAACCTGCTCCTGGAGCAGAAGACGTGCTCTCCTCCCAGCTCTTCTTTTTTGGTGATAATAAAGTCCTTTCTTTGCTGGCTTCTTTCTCCTTCTGTCTCTTGTAAAATATGATGAAGCCCACACCTCAGGAATGCTCCCTTTACATCGGGTCAGGGATGTGACCTGAATTAGGATATTGCATTCTACCTACCACACAGTCCTCTTGCAACTGATTGGCTGGTCACATTCAGTCACATCACAGGGGATGATGGTAACATTATGTGACTGACAAATTACATCATTACATAAGTGCCAAACCACTGAGAATCATGACCTAGCCAAGTTGACATATTTTTGGGGACACAATTCAGTCCATAACACTACACAAGTGTTTTTTTTTCCTTCTAATTAGTGTAAAATAACATAGGAAAACAGAATGAACTAGAGAAATATTCTTATTAAAAATTAAACGGAATCCAAGTATTTTGCAATAAATCATTTCTGCTACTTAGCTATTTACCTTAGCTTCTGTTAATTTTTTCATTTTATAAAGAACCTTTTTTTTATATGAAAAAGTTCATTTAAAAGTGATTTTTCTCAGTGACCAAAGCTTTAAAGAGAAAGAAGTAAAGTAAAAAGGAGACAGCAGTCAGAAATATGCAGGCCAATTTTCAGGTTTTATAATTGAGTGAAAATACTTACAGGTTTTTTTTTCTACTTTATGTTTAGACAAAGTACTCTTCAATTTGGGTAAAGTAAGTCTTTGTTCAAGAAAGAGTGAGGGAGTTGTAAACTTGCCTAGAGATCAATTTAAAGAGGTCCCCAAGGGAACCAGATTGGCAGTGAACAGTGGAGATTAAGGGAGGAACAAGAGGGAAGAACAGATAATTAACTGACTTTATCCTGTTGTGGCAGAAACAGATGCTTAGATAAGAGTCTAAACTCTCTTCTTAAATTTACAATATCTTGACAGAAAGGTTGGAGGTAAGGAGCTTATAAATAGTGATACTAAATTGCGAGTTGATTTCTGTTGGACTCTAGCCGGCAAAACTAAATATAGTTCTCAGTAAGTGACTCCATTTTTCCTTGTTTTCAGCCAAATCCCTAAGAGATAAAGGGATTTGGATGAGAGATGAGACTGACGTAATAGTGTACTGTACTAATGTACTAATTTGCCACTAAATATGTGTTTCACAGTCACCTGGGGACCTTTTGTTTTAGATTTTTATTGTGAATTGAGTGATAGTTTACATGGGAGAATATCAGTTTTACACTCATCGTTTCATTGCAATGATTGCAATGTCCTCTGTGCATCATCATTCAACAGTATTTGCTTCTATTCCCTCTGTTTTTATTTTATTTTATTGATGGGTACAAAAACACTCAGAATATATAATCATTTAAATAAGAAGGCACATTCTACAAGACTGCCTCCTGGCTGCAAGCACATAGTCTTTCTCTTTCCATGAGTCTAGAGTCCTCTGCTGCTCTGTCTCTCCATGTCCTCATCTCTGTCTCCATCTCTGGTATCATTCAAGACCTTGATGGTCCCAGGGTCCTCTGTTCCTGGACTGTAAGATTAACTGCTCCCCTCTTTTTGTCACTAAACTTCTGCCTTTACAGTTGTGACAATTGTCATGATAACAGTATTACTTGCTACTGAATCATAAGAATCTTATCCCCATTTGCTGTCACTAGACCCGTCTAGACAAGATGAAAACTATTCAGTGGGTATTCTACCTTCCCCTGCACACTCTGAAACTAAACTCTCTCTTGAAAACTTGTAAGCCAGTCATTTCCTGCCTTTATAGCTCCCCCCGATTTTAGGTAGCCAGTGTGTAAGTTGCCCTTCCCTATCAACTGTATACAGAGGGAATAGGATTGATACTTGATGTGAAGACTCCTTCCCTCTCACTTGGTATTTTGAGCAACTATAGCCATAAGTATAGATCAAGTCATCAAATTGTAGCAATTTATACTTATTTCCTTTATCAAAAACTTTTTTTTTTTTTAATCTTCCTCTAGTCAAGTTCTGATCATCAAGCCATGGAAGCTAGGGTGAATAGGTACTGTCTACAAGTTTGGGCGTTCTTGTGCGTCTCCCCTCACTTCATGTCAGCTGGATGCTTTGCTCTCAGCTCTATCCCTCTGTGGCTATGTCTTTGTCTGTGGACCCAGGAGTCCACCTGGGGAACTTTTTAAAAAACTTGACAAGCCTAGGTTCTATCCAGAAGATTTCAGTTACATAAATCTAAATTTCAGTTAACACTTGGGATTCTGATACAATGCCTAGCTAATCATTTAAGAGAGAAATATGATATATACCAAGGGGCTTCTAAAATTTGTGGAAGATTGTAATTCAAATATAATGGAATTTTTCTAAGAAGTTTTTGAAGCTCCTTGTACATTCCTGTATCTCAGACTCTTAAGAAGTCTCTAGCTGAATTGCCATATAGTAGGAACTACTTCCTTCAGTTCTTTTCTTTCCAACAGTATTTGTATTACTAGTAGTATCAGAAGCTGTCCAACTTCAGGGGAGATAATGATCAGGATCAGCCCAGGTCTGATTCCCATGAGGTGGAGATCAAACTTACCTTCTCCTTCCAATCTTTTTACCATTTCCGACACCAGCCATTCCCCCTCGACATTCTACTTCTCTTCTGAGTTTGATAATTCATTGCAGTGACTACGTAAGACTCATAGACTACTTATAGTAAAGTGGTTTACTAGGGAGTAACAGCGTACAATTTGAGATCAGGATTAACAGGGTACTACTACTCAGGGGTCCTGGTGTAGTGCTGCAGGATACCATGCTGGACCGCAAGGTCAGTTTGAGCTGCAGTGTTGGCAGTTCAAATCCACCAGCCGCTCCTTGGAAACCCTATGAATCAGAACCGACTTGACAGCACTTAACAACAGCAACGCTTAGGATCAGGAAGCATGTATGAAAAATCTCCTTTCTTCCTTCAGGACAGCTCACTGCTTTTCTGGATCATGTGGGTCTCTTCTTGGTCCTCTGAGGGCAGCCTCCTCTAGACCTCCATAGAACAGGCTAGGCTGTTCATAGCACTATAGTTTGTCACTACCAGCTCTGCTGCAGGGACCCTTCTTGGCCTATTGCCACTGGCTCAGCTGCTGGGCCCTTGACTTATGTTACAGCTCTTTTAGGAGATTCCCTGCCCCTTGTCTCTTTCTGCATCTTCTATCTTCCTTCCGCTCTTCTTGCTTGTTTCTGTCTAAAAATCTTTTGTGGGGCTGGCTGTGTATATATGTTGTTGTTAAGTGCCGACGAGTCAGTTCTGACCCATAGCGAACCTTTACAGGGTTTCCGAGGCTGTAAATCTTTACGGGAGCAGAAAGCCTTATATATATATATAACTTCTTATCAATTTCAAGACACGACCTCTCCTGGAGGCTGGACTGTGAGTCAAAAACTTATCAATACACCGCATAGGCTACAGAAATGCTGATTGCCTTGTAGGCTATAGGAGCCAATCTCATTTGCGTAGTTCATTGACCTATTTCACAGCTTACTCAGGAAATGTCAGCCTGTACAAAGGGAACTTCCTTAGGGTTTAGTGGTAAAATCTCTCAGTCTGTTTTTCTAAAGAAACAAGATAAAAGGCCACAAAAGGAATTGAACTCTTATCACACTTAAGAGGCCCTGGTAGCATCATGGATTATGAGCTGGGCTGCCCACCACATCAGCAGTCCGAATCTGTCAGTCTCTCTACAGGAGAGTGATGAGGCTTTCTCCCTCCATAAAGATCTACAGCCTCGGAAATGCTGTACAGCAGGGTCACTACGATTCAGAAATGATTCGGTGGCACATCACTACCACACTTAACTTTCTGTACTCAGTGACTGGGAGATTAAAAGGAATAATACTGATTTATAGAATCACACCTTTTGGCTTATAGAATCACATTTTTCCTCCTTTCTGATCATTCATTCATATTTGAGAAATTTGCTTATGGATAATACTTTAAAATGTAAGAGGTTAACCCTTTAAGGATTTTTCATGTCTTTGTTATCATTCAGATCAAAAAATATTTATTGCTAAAAGTCAGGGTTTTTTGCTAATGGAATGGCAGCAAATCATGAACCTTTTTTGAGTTGAAGCAGTGTTACAGGATATATCTAAGTGTGTCTGCTAAATTCATAGATTCCTAACATAATTAGGATGTCAGCTTTAAACATTTAAAACCATAAGCGTATAAGAAATAATACAGAAGGCAAAATTTTAAAATGTTTTATTGTGAATTATATGATAGTTTACATGAGAGAACCTCAGTTCCATATTCATTCCATTGTATATTATTACATTGCCATGGTTCCAATCCCCTCCATGCATTGTCTTCTGACCAAAGGGCATATCCTAGAAGCCCTCGCTCTACACTCCCCCCTCCCCCCTCAGTCTTCGGCTCACAGTTCCTTTCCCTCTCTGGATCCAAAGTCCCCAGCTGCTTCATCCCTCCATGTCATCATCTCTGTCTCCATCTTAGGCATCCCCGGTTCTCTGGGTGGGGTCCTATTCTCAGCTCTTATCTGTTGGTGGTCCCAGAGACCTCCGCAACTAGACTGGAGAAATAATCACTCTCTTCCTTGCTACAAAACATCTACCCTTGCATTTCCAACACTCACAATCTGTCTTGATAACCATTATTTACTACAGTATCGCACGTTACCCATCTGTATTTCATTTCATCAGCTCGACCTAGACAAATTGGATAGTACTCACTGCCTTCCTCCATACCCCCTAGCTCTAGGTTCCCTCTTGAAAGCTTGTAAGCCAGTCACTTCTTACCTTTGTAATCCCTCCCTTCCCATTTGGGTATCCAATGTCCAAGTTGCCCCTCTATGTCTACTCTGTGTATGGAGGGGGTGGGAATGTTTCTTGCTGTAAGGATTTATCGCCTCTTTTGTATCACTGCATTCGTATGCATAGGTCAAGTTCATCAGCTTGGATCAGCTCAATCTTCTTCCCCACCCCCATCCCCCCTTCTTCTCCTGGTTGAGCTCTGATCATCCAGTCATCCAGTCCTGGTCACGTGGGTGTCATCTGCAAGTGTGGGTGTTCTTGTGCACATGCCCTGTCTTCCCATCAGCTGGCTGCTCCATTCTTCACTTGAGTCCTCCGTGGCCATGTCACTGACTCTGGGCCCAAGAGTCCTCGGATCTCCTCGCACTGCTTGCCAACCAGGTCCCCAGCTGGGTCCACAGAAGCCCTCTGAATATTGTGAGGCTTAGCTCACCGCTTCATTGCTGCCTTTACTCCATTTCTCCCCAATGGTGATGCGTGTGTTTACCAACCCGAACATGCATTTCCACCGAGCCTCAGTTTTGTGGGGGCGGGGCTACGTTGGTGGGACCCGAACGACTGCCCCAATGTCTCCTAGGAGAGCGACCTATTTGTTCCCATAGTAGCAGTCCATCTGTCTCCATTGTGTCGTATTTTTCCTGTAGGTCTTCCATTCGAGACGTATCTTTTGTTTTTCTCACTGTTCCAGGCTCGTCAGCTCGTCCCTTCAAGTGGGGATTTCTCATCTCTGGTGGTCTGGATGTGGTTCTGGTTTCTACCTATAGTTTTATGTATTGCAAAGGCTCCGCAGAGAGCCTTGCTCACAGGGCACGTTGTAGCCCTGTTTTAGGTATTCCAATCAGTTAAAGGCAGAAGACGGACTTACAAGCCTTCTAGTGTGATGTTTCTGACTATTCCTTTCTCTCCCCCTCCAGTGTCTACTCTATATTATAATGCAGGGGAAACCATGATTCAAAAAAACAGTCAAGCATCTTAACACGATTCCCCGCCCATTCCAACCATGGGTCAATCCCTGTATCTCAGAGCCCTGCAGCTCCAAGGCTGTGCACACATCATCCTTTATCTCTGTCCCACTTGGTCCACCTAAACACGCCCTATTGTTCTCCCATCTGCCCCTTTTCTCCACTTCCCTCTCCCTCCCTGTATATTGCCCCCCTCCCCATCACCCAAGCTTTCCTGAGCCCAATCAGAAGGCAATTTTTAAAAACTTTTTATTGTGAATTGAGTGAACATTTAGAGAACAGATTATGTTTTACATTCAGCAAATTATTTACTTTGCTTTATTACAATGATTGCAGTATTTATTTCTAGTTCCTTTAACTCTTATTTTCTAAACCTTTTATTATGAATTGAGTGAAAGTTTACAAAGATGATCTTTAGTTTTATATTAAACAAATCATATACTTTGCTTCATTACAGTGATTGCACTTCCCTCCATGTACGAAGGGTTAACAGCATTTATCTCTATTGACTTTAACTCTTGCACTTCTCCCTCTGTCGCCCATGTTAACACGTTTCTGCCCTCTTGTTATATATTGCCTGCCCTGTCACCCATGTTAACACGTTTCTACCCTCTAGCCCATGAATAATTTTTCCTCCCTTCTTCCCCGTAACCACCACAGATTGTTTCTTTTATTAAGAAAACCTTTTCTTAGCTTTTTGCAACATTAGTCACATATAATATTTGTTTTTTTGTGATTGACTAATTTTACTCAGTGTAATGTCCTCCAGGTTCATTCATGTTATGAAGTGTAGTGAATTATCTAATGTCTTTTCTAGCCATAGTCTGCAACTCGCACCAAACAGCATTTCTACTTTGCTGGAGCTGAGTAAAGAGAAAGTGGGAGAAGGTACTGCTAGGATGACATGATTCTGCTGTGGATGTTAGCAGAGCTCATTGTAATTGTAAAACTTGAAAACTTTAGTGTGATATAAAATGAGCCATTTTAGAAGCAAGAAGAGAGATATTATTACCATCGAAGACAAGCCAGAAGTGGAGTGCATCCTTTGGACCCTGAATCCCTGCTCGTTGAATCTCCTCTTGATGCAGGGACAGAAAGCTGTGACACTGGATGAGTGGCAGAGGAGCCACAGCAGCAGAGCCAGAGCACAAGACAGAGCAATGGACTTCCCACCCTATCGAGCAAATAAAACTGAGGCTTGGGCAGGCTTGCTTTTTGGAGTGGGGTGCCTCTAGGCACTTAAACTAGGTTTGCTGACCAGGGCCTTCAGGCTGGGCTGATGGTGCAGTGGTGTGTCCTGTGGACAGTGATGAGCAGCACTCAAATAGTTTTGTAACATTGTCCTGCAGAGAGAGGCCTGCTGTGGACAGTGAAGGAGAGGCTGTCCTGACTAGAACACCTGGCCCCTGAGCATTTTGGACCCTGCACTGTAACTTGTTAACTTTGCTAATAAACCCCATACCTTCTGTGTGACCATTGCAATGAGTTCTCGAAACCCATTGATTAAGGAGGGCTGTGGGCAAAATGGTACGGTTCATTTTTGCAATGTTAATGTTGGATGAATAATGAATATTGTAGATAATATTACATTTTTTTCCTTAGCATTATCACCTAAATATGCAAATGATTTACTGACCTGCATTATGCTAAATGTAATCTATATAGATCGGTATTGGAATTTATATTGAATAGTCATTATATTTTAAATTCTGATTTACAGTTTGCCTAAAATTAAAAAAATAATACAAAGTACAAATTAAAATGGGAATCAGAATATAAATTAATTTTAAAAGAAAACAGAAAATTATGTATAAGGGTCTTAGAAATTTATTATAATAGAAGAAAACTTAGCACTAAGCTCTCTATTAACTTAGATGAAAATCTTTCGTCTTGTGGTAGGAGAAAACCCATGAAAATAATAAGCAATCTAAGTGCATTAGGAGCGCATGTCTTTTGATTAGAGCTCATTTCCTCAGTGACCCATATGAAGCAGGAGTACTTAACAGTGGCACCTGGGATCCAACTCTGTTAGTAAAGATAATCAAATGAGTCCCTGTTACCTGGAGGTGCTCCAGACTGTATCCCTGGAATTCTCATTTCCCAGCTCTTAATAAGTTTGTCACAACAAGCATTGCAAAAATACAGATTAAGCAAAATTAGATGCTCTTAAAACTGAGCTTTTAAGACACAATTTTATAATCTTACTCAAGCATAGATGAACCATGGAATCACAGTATTTACCGTGTGATAAAATAAACATTCTTTGAAATACAGTGTAGAAACATTGCTCTAGGGAAAGCCATTTAGATGGTTAGTCAAGTAATAATACTAAAAATATTTACTACTGTAAGACCTGCGAAAACTGGATACTGTGTAAGATGGAAAATTGTAAGAGACTATAAATTACTCAGCTATTTTCCACCAGTAGCGCATGATACAAAAGTGGTAAACTGGACCCTGTCAAAGATAGAAAAACTTAGGAAACCCAGAAAAGCAAGGCAGTCCATTCGAGTTCCAGCTGTTATCAGTTTCACTGTATATTCTAGGGTTTGCAGATGTAGAAATAAAAGATAACAGCCCCTGCTTTCTACAAGCTTTCAGTTTAGGTAAAACCAAAACCCATTGTCTTCGAGTCTATTTCAGAGCAGTGCAATTGCAATGTACCGTTGTAAATGCTATAATAGAAGCAAAGGTCTTGGAACTGGTAAATGTTTAAAGTACGTTTTGGAGAATGAGTTTGGAGTTAATCTGGTAAAGTAGTAAAGGGGAATGTTTCAAAGACAAGCACAGAAGAGTGAGAAGGAACTGCTTTCTAGTATCTTTCCGTATATGCTTTCATTGGTAGCATCTTTTTAAAGGTTCGAAATTCGTTTTAGAAATTTGTAATTGTTTATAAATTATGAATTGTTTTTGCTGTTTTACAGGATGACATCACACCACTTTTACTCGCTATAAGTGAAAACAAGCAGCAAATGGTGGAATTTTTAGTAGAAAAAGAAGCAAATATACATGTAGTTGATAAGGCAAAAAGGTATAGTAGTTATTTTTGTCCCCCTTTTTAAATCTTTGTGTTGCTTTGGAAGGTAACAGTCATCAAGTCAGAAAGATTAAATTATAAGAAGAGGATTAGTTTATGTTGTTTGTATATATTGAAGATATCAACACAAATCAGCAGTTAGGTAGAAAAGCATCATTTGTGAAGACTGGATATAGTAGAATTCATATTTCTTTATGATACTGACTGCTTTTTTGGGTCATATGATCATATACTAACTAAAAGGGTCTCATATTTTATACAAAACAGACTAACTTTTAGTTTACTCTATGAAGCAGCATTGAACTTCTTAACCCTTCTGTCGTAGTTTTTTAACCTCTACTTCTTAGATACTTTTCTTTAAAATGCTACATTAAACATAAGTAGGAGTTTGGGTATCATTTTGTCTTTTGGATGACTCTGCTTTAAATTGTTTACTTTGACTAATGTTGATATTTATTCCTGTGTGACTATTCCTATAGTATTACCAGATACCATGGGCTTGTCAGAGGAGCCATGGTGGTACATTTGGTTAAACATTAGTCTGCTAACTGAAAGGTCGGGAGTAAGAAACCACCAGCTACATACAGGAAAACAATGAAGCAGTCTACTTCTGTAAAGATTGACAGCTTCAGAAACCCTAGGGAGCAAGTTCTGCTCTGGCCTGGAGGGTCATTGTGAATTGGAATTGAGTCAGTGGCAGTGGGTTATGGACTTGTCAGTTTTTATCCCCTTCCTTTTTTAGTGTGTTTTGATGTTGCTGTTGTTTTTTAAAATTGGTATGAACAAAGGGAAGCAAGATAGCCTATAATGAAGACAGGTTGTAGGCGGACAATGAAAAGAGATGGGCTGTAGACTCACACAAATCTGGTTTAATTTTCCTGGCTTTCCCATTTATGTTAGGTATGTGACCTAGGAAACATTATTTAGTATCGCCAAGTATGTTGCCTGCTGTGAAAAGGAGGATAAAAATATATCCTTCAAAAGTGATTGTGTGTTGTCATAGCTCCTCTACCGTTAGACCAGAAGAACTAAGTGATATAACCTGGTTCCCACTGCTGTTCTTTATGAAGAGGACCACAATAGAAGGACCCTGAAATAATGGCAGAAATTTGTAGAGCAGAACTCAAATGCCTAAAAAGCCCAGACTTACTGGACCAGTTGTGACTAGAGGACTCCATGAGATTTTTGCCTTGTGATACTCTAAACCTTGATCCAGAACTGTCCACTAAGGTTACCTTTTAGCAAAAAACCAGATTGGCACACAAAATAAGGATATAATCAGTTTGTATGCGGGCCAATAACTACTCTAAAATAATGATGAGATGTTAAGAGGGTCAAGTAAACTAGACTACTGGAAATAGAACGAGAATGTAATTAAAAGAATATTGACACATTGTGAAAAATGTAACTAATGTCACAATGATTTACATAGAAATTGTCAAATGGAAACCTTATTTGCTATGTAAACTTTCATCAACAATAGTATATTTTTTTCAAAGTGGGTGTAAGGATATAGGTATACCATTTAATTCCACATTAGTAACAGTAACTACTTTGACTATTGTTATTACCATTGTTATTAATATTATTATTTTATCTGACCTCTAGCTGACTTTAAATTACAAATTTTTATCAGAGTAGAGAAGAAATGGAGAATTCTTCAGTAAAATCTTCATCTACTTCAGATAAGTGACCTCAGCATAGAATCTTAGCCACTAAAGGATTTTAAATTAGTAACTTCTATGTAATTGGACTCCTGGTATGATGTTATAGGATAAGTATTGCCAACCATGAGGTTGGCAGTTCAAATCCACCAGCTGCTCCTTGGAAATCTTATACAGGAACATTATGAGTCAAAGCCCACCCAACGGTACTTTACTTCAATTTTTTTTTTACTGTCTAATATACTAGTGGGACAAGAGGCTTTCTTTAAGCCCCTTCCTTTTAGTCCTGGAGGTAAATTATGAAGATAACACAGGAGGGAGCACTCAAGGCACCCAAGATGCTTGTAGTTAGTGTACTTGTAAATAATCAATTCTGAACAGATAGACAAAAAATTAGCTTGGTCAAGTATATAAAATTAGCAGCGTAAATAAAGTTCCTAAGGATGAACTTATCTCTCTGTTATTTTAGAACAGCCCTCATGCTTGCTGTAAATTATGACTCAACAAATATAGTCAGGCTTCTTCTTCAGCAAGGCATTGATGTCTTTTCTCAAGATATCTATGGATGGACTGCAGAAGAACATGCTATTATTAGTGGTTTTAATATGTAAGTTTTTATAGTATAATGTTAGCTATTACTAAGCAGTGAGATTTCAAATTATAACCGTTACT